GTCGGCATCCAATTCCCAAATCAATAAGACAGTTGGTTTAATTACCATTGGAAAATGCTTGTCATTCCTCTGTAGCATCTGGTCCCCTCTGGACCCTCATTATTTCCTTCACCTGCTCCCCCACCGACCAAACTGTGCAGCTTTGCAACTGCATCCTGGCCCATCCTCACCCTTCTGCCCCCAACCCTCACCTCCTTGTACCCCCCCAATATGTTTTTCCCAATAAAAAAAATTATCTGATCCACAGGAATCCACTGAGGCCTAACTAATCCCACATTACTTGCCACACCTAAAACATCTCTTACAAGTCCTACAGTGTGCTGTTTTTCTCCCAACGTGGCCTGCTCTGGAGTTATAAGTAATGAATTTGCCTTTCTATCCAGGAGCCTTCAAGTTGCATCCTGACATCCCATAACCTATCACCACACCTAATAGCCTATCACCACCTCATGGACTAGCTATGAAGCACCCTCACTGTGATCCTACCCCATTAGCTCCTCTCCAGTTCGGATTCCACTCTTTCCCTCCAAGTCTAACTCCCAGCAAACCCCATCGGGCTTCTCACGTGCTTCTTCTTCAAGATCTTGAGGATCTTCTTATCTCCTCGCTCCTTAGCTGTCTGTAGGCACCTGGTGACATCAGCTGTCCACTGAATCTGACTGGCTGTGATCACCATCTTGGGCAGATGAGGCAGACGAAAGGCTGCATTCAGAAACCCTGTCCTTGGCTGTCCCACACAGCCCAACGCCCAAACCCTAGCTCCTTTCAGGCTTCTTTCAACAAGCCTCATCTGCTCCAAAGGTTGGGCACATGTCTAAAGTCAGGAGTCAGGGTCTAGGATGTGTGGTTGTTGCTGTTGTATACTATAGAGTCAGAAGTGACTTATGGCTGAACCTCCAGCAGGTTTTCTGAGGCAGTTTAATCACATGGGAGGGGACTGACCATATTTCTCCTGCAGAGCAGCTGGTGGATTTGAACCCTGTGCTTTTGGGATTGCAGTGCACTAGGCCACCAGAGCTCCCTAGAATGTGGTGTAATTAGGGTCAAAACCCAGAAATGAGATGAGAAACCTACATTTTGTGAAAGCCAATATTCTGCCTTTACATTTACTATGGGCTGTTCAGCTCAGTCTCTCATTTCTACTGCTCCCAGCTCACCTGGCCAGCCCAATCCTTCACCCACTTGTCCCTCTTGCTGAGGAACTTTTTGAGGGCAAGACGGCAGTTCCGGAGAAGGTCCCGCAGGGTCACTCTCATGGTCCGCTCCACGTCGCCAAGCCAGGACTGGAGAAGGAAAAAGCACAGCATGCCTCACCTCAGGCCCAGAGACAGGATTCCCAAGAGGGAAGGTGGTATTCAGGGATGGTAGCACAAGTTCTCAACATTAGGCCACAAGAGCTCTGTCCAACAGAGATGGTACTAAGGAAATGGGATTCCAGGGCTTGGATCCAAGACGACATACTGGGCAGCAAGTGACGTGAGTCCCTGAGGGAATGGAGGCCAGGAAGTCGGCCGCCTGATATTCTGGAGAACACTGATGTTCAAGGCAGAGGTTATAGTTACCAGAAATGACAGTGGAGAGGAGGAAAAACAACAAAACACTCTTCATTCCCCTGACAGATATTCCCTTCTCACAGAGCTTAGGAAACCTTCTAATAAGAAGAATCAAGTTGGTTCTCAGATGCTTCTCACAACTCACCTCCACGGGTCCTTCCAAGAGTACCGAGTGAAGGAAATCAATATACTCGCCATCACCTGAGAACATTCCCACAGCTTCCCATTTACTGCTGGGCACCCCCATCTGTAGAAAAGAGAAACAAATATGGGCCAGCCTGCCCACTCCTGGTATCTGCTTATCCTGTTGTTGCTGTGTGTTGTGGAGTCAGAGATGACCCACAGCCGACCCTCCAGCAGGCTGAATTGCTAAGCTAAGGAGAGTCCTCTTTCTCTCACAGAGCAGGTGGTGGATTTGAACCTTGTGCCTTAACGTTGGCAACACAGCTCCTTACCATCCTAGAGGGCACTAAAAAGCTTTCTCAGGGTAACATCTGCTCTGCTCATTCTCCACAATATTAGCAATTCCAAACACTCTTCTCCCATGAGAACCCAGAAGAATGAACATTCTTCTTCTTTTCAGAGTTCAAATAATGAAATAATTAAAATTCCTCCCCACCAGGGAGCTCTGACAGCTTAATGGTAAGGAGTTGTGTTGCCAGTCCAAACGTAAGTGGTTCAAATCCACGAGCTTCTATGTGGGGAAAAAAGATGAGCCATCTCCTTCTGTGCATTCAAACTTCCTCTGAAAACCCATTAGAGGGTCAACTAAAGGTCGGTTCTGACTCAACAGTACACAACAGCCACTCCTTTTGGGAGGATATGGCCCCCAAAGCCTTGAATGTGTGGATATCACCATTCCTTCTCTGCCCTCCATCCCATCTCTCCTGACCTTTTGCATCTTCAGCAATTTGATGTTGTCAAAGCACTTCTTGAGGTGTGGCTGCACAGCCTCTGGGTTCCGGGCCTGGCCCAGGATCTCCAGGAGGTCGTCATTGGACAGGAAGTAGAAGCGGGGGAAAAGATGACGCTTGGTCTCTAAGTACATGTCCAGAGACTTCTGAATATCTTCCAGCACTGTGTTCATTTCTAACAGGGTGTCCAGGAGGCCTGGAGAAAGGGGTAATGGAGGGCAGCTGATGACCCTTTTACCTTTGCCCTGAGTTTCAACAAGGGTCTCCAACTAGATCTACTGTTCCTCCCTTTTCAGGGCGCCCAATCCTCCCTCATCATGCTCGGTCCATTCCCTTCCTTAGTTCGCGGGGAGCACTGTTATGTGGTCTGTAGCAAGCTGTGCTGGTGACTCTTCAGTGGTTTAAACCTACCAGCAGCTATCTCCTCCCATTTGGTTTACGGCCTCCAAAAACCACCCGGCAAGTCAACAGAAGTTGACTAAGCAGAAGACTTAGCAACAATGAGTTTGGGTTCATTCATAATGACAAATGATTATATCTTATATACCACTATACATTAATTATACATGATTTCGTGACTTTCACTACATTTCCCATCAGCCTTTAGAACAACAGTCTCATTTTGACAAAGAACTTGGTGCTCTGCTGGCCGTCCCAAGAGCTTCTGAAAATCAGAGGTTTGTTCCATGCTTACACAGTCCTAAGTTAGAGACTAGATTTAAATACGTATCACCTGCACACAAAGAAAGAGAGTGGTGACAACTAGGATTACCAGTATCCCTCACGACATAACCAAAAAGAGCACTAATCAGGACAGAAGCCATTGCCATTAAGATTACGCTTTCATTTATCAGCCTATTACTCAACTCCCTTGAGCTTTCACCTCTGTGTCTATAAGATTCACCTCAAAGGAAATTAAAAGTATTCAACATAATGCATTCACATTTTTTTACCTTCTCCATAGTTTTCCTTTCCTCACAGCCTAAATCCCCACACCTAGTTTCTAGCATTCTGGGGGAAAGTACTATTGGTTGTGAGTCTGAGCTCTTGAGGTGAGCCTCATGCTTTCGTGTATGAAGTCGTGTTGTGACTACCCTAGAGGCCCCTGGAAGCCACAAGGAGACTTAGTAGCAGTGGATGAGATGGATTTATTGTGTATTCAACAAAGGACAGTTGTTTTTATGGCTTTGTGTATATAAGTTGATCCACAATAGAATTCTTTCCATTCTCCCCAACCTTGCGTGCTGAAAGTGAGGAAGACTTGAAACATTTGCTCCAGAAGATCAAATACTGCAGCCTTTAATATGGAATGCACCTCAACAATAAAGCAAATCTCACTACTGGATCGAAAGGCAACATCATGATAGATGGAGAAAAGATTGAAACCATCAATCACTTTATCTTACTTGGATCCAAAATCAATGCATTTGGTACTAGCAGTCAGAAGATCAGAAGAAAGTCTGCAGTCAGGAACTTCTCCCAATTGTTATTGTTATGTGCAGTTGAGTCTACTGCAACTCACAGCAACCCTGTGCACAATAGCTCTGAACCCTGCTCTACTCTGAGTCACTCTCACGGCCTCTGACACACCTATCCTAATTAACCCAGTTACTGTTTTGAGCCATTTCATAGGGGGCTTCCTCTCCTGCACTGTCTCTCCACCCTCCCTAGCATGATGTTCTTCTCCAAGAACTGGTCCCTTTTGGCCATGTGCCCAAAGTATTGGAGGCAGAGTCTCAAAATCCTTGCCTCCGAGGAGAAACTCGGTTTCACCCTCTCCAAGACAGACTTGTTAGTTCTCTTAGCATTTCATGGTATGTTCAATACTCTTCTCCAACACCAGAATTTAAAGGCATCAATTCTTCTGACATCCTTAGTTATTATCCAGCTATCTGATGCACAGCATGTAATTGTGAAGACCATAGCCTGGATTAGGTGCACCTTAGTCTCTAGACTGACACTGTTGCTCAGCACTCTGGAGAGGTCCCCAACAGTAGATTTTCCTAATGCAATTTGTCTTTTGGTTTTCTGATTCTGGTGTCAAGAGTGTTGATTGTGGAATCTAACAAGCTGAAGCTGTTAACAGTCTCGGTCTCTTCATTGTCTATCATGATGCTGCCAATTGGCCTAGTGGTGAGAATCTCTGTTTTCTTGATGTTGAACTTCAATCCATTTTGCAGACTACAGTCCTTGATCCTCTGCAGAAGATGCTTCAAACCCTCAATTTCAGCAAGCAAAATTGTGTCATAAGAATCTCCAAATTACTGAGGAGCAATGATGTTAGTTTGAGGACTAAGGTGCACCTGATTCAGATCATGGTCTTTTCAGTCACTTGCTATGCTGCCAAATTATGCCTTTTAGTTGGATACCCTATAGATTGCCAGAAGAACAAAGAAATATGGAGAAGGTGCAACCAGAGTGTCTCTTGGAGGCAAAGATGATAAAGCTTGATCTCACATAGTTTAGACATGTTAGGAGAGGCTACTCCTTGGAGAGGGACATCATGCTTGAAAATGTGAAAGATTGGTGAAGGAGAGTAAGATTTCAACCAGGTTGGTTGACACAGTGATTCAGCAATGGATTTGAGCATGTCAGAGATTATGAGGCTGGAACAGGATAGAATAAGGGTTCAGATCTGTTGTTCATGGTGTCACCACAAGTCATACTCAACTCAATGACACCTAATAACTGCAACACTACTATTTATAAAATATATGTTGTTTAAAAAACATAATAAAAAAACCTTTGCACACTTATATTTTACTAAAATGTTTCAGATAAGGTTTTCTGTTTAATGTATATACTCAAGGCTCTGTCTCTCAGCAAAATACAGATGTTCTCCTTCCCCCCTGACAGGACTTTTCCCATTCAGGACTTTTCATTATAGGTGCCCAACACCACCCTGATTCTTCATGCCAGTCAACTGGCCTTGCTCTGTCGACCTCTTCCTACCTTGTTTTTATTTTCCTCTTCCCTTAGGTTCTCTGAGACTCTAAAGTATCTACAATAAAAACTAGCTAGTCGGATAAACTAATTAAGGCTAATTTAATAACAATAGCTAATAGCAACCAAGAATTTCACCACGTGTTAAGGGTTTTATTTGCATTATTTCATTTTCCTGCATTATCTTATTTGATGTACTAATATCCTCTAGAGAGAAAGAGTAATTCTTTGATTAGGGCTTGCTAAACCTCAGTACTTCAATTGAGCATTTCGTTTATGCTAGGCATTTTACTGTGAGTGCTTTGTACACTTACAATTCTTACAAAACCCTATGGAAAAAAACCCACTATTATCCCTATACTATCGAGGAGAAAACTTTAATTTGGAGAAAGCAAATTGTTCAGGATAAAAAAGTCAGTAAGGCATGTGTCCAATTTTGAGTTCAACCTGTCTGACACCCTCTTTAATGCTCTTAATCACTATGTTATACTGCACTCAAATATTTGTTGAATTTAGTTGGATGGATTATTACTTAATACTTTTAAGTAGTAATGATGATGGGAACTGTTTTGACAACAAGGTACACCAGTCAAGCTTTCAATAATTGAAACGCATAACCATGATGTCCCTCACACACAGCACCAAACGAGCCCTTGTCAGGTCAAGAGGGAGGTGGCACCCAGACCTGGATAGTGGGTGCCCTGGAGAGCGTTGTTGTTCTTGTTCAGCCGGTCCATGATGGTCTTCCAGGTGGCGTTGACTCCGTCAAATGAGGCAGACTCATTGGGCAGCTGCTTGCGGATGTCTTCCCCCATGAAGATGTTCTGTGGGGCCAAGAATGGGGCAGAAGTTGTTTTCACTCCATCTCCCCCCTCCACTTTCTGCTCTCAGACTGGAAATGGCAGTTGGGTGACCAGGAGGAGTACTAAAAGGAAGGAAAGCTGGGCTGAAGAGGGCAGGTGTCTGGGTGCAGGAGGAAAAAGGAAGGCTCGGCAGAGAGGAAATTTAAGGCGAGAGTTATAAACAAAGAGTCAGAAGCGTGGGTCCTAGAAGAAGAAGGATTTTTTTTTCTTTTTCTTTTTTTTTTTTAAAGCAGAAAACGAGGTGGATAGCAAAGGCAGAAATCTATATCCAAACCAAACAGGAGTTAGTACTAGACATAGTAAGAGCTCAGAGCTGTGTCCTGACCTCCAGGTACATCCACTGACGCTGCACTGTAAGCATCGTCTCAATAACTTCCAAAATAAGGGAGAGACAGCGTTCCCAGTGGTCCACCTCCTTCTCAAAGGCTTTGAAAAAACGAGATGCCTTCATGTTGGACAGAGACACCTGGTTATCCTCCAGTGCCTGGAATACGTCTTCTGTGCCTCTGTGGTGAAAGAGCAGAAATAAGTCACAGGAAATCACAGACCCCTCACAGTCACACAAGGCTCCCTCTCCTGGAGCCCCACGCTAATCTCTACCTGAGTCGGTGATGGCCTTTATCCTTGTAGGGCACTATGTCTAGCTGGGTCAAATCCCAAGTCTTTGCAATGTTCTGTAGTGCCTGTGGGGAGAAACCAGTAGACAGCATAATGACACCTTAAGCCCAATATGAACAGAGGCTGCAACGGGCTCTCGGATAAAGAAAAGCTGAAAGCCTCTGCTCCAGAGGCTTAGGAAATAGGGAAGTGTGGAAGAGCATTCAGTCATACCAACTCTATGGCCAATTCTTTGGTTGCTGAGGCAGAGATCTCTCCAATTTTATCAACATGCTGATCCATCCCAAGCTCCACAATCTGCTCCAAGGTGAAGCTGTCCGATTCCTGGTCAAACTCCCGCTGGATCTCATCTCTGATCTGATCCCAGTGCCTTGAGACAAGGACAGAAAGTCTATTCAGGAAGCCAGACACCAGGGTCTACCGGGAAAATATTAGCACTGCTCCTCACGCTTTCTCCCTCTGAGATATTAAAATATCACGTCTTTATTAGCTCATGATTTAACAGATAGTCACTAAATAGGCTCTACAATGTCATTTCCAGCATGATGGGGAATACAAAGATTGAGTTGCCTTCTCCTGAGGGATGGTTCTCTAGGGAAAGCATTAAGACAGATACACACAGAAAACACATAATAACTAAGTGAACTGCAGACTGCCTATAGATTATGCACGAGCTAAGTGCTTTACATGGAACACCTATTCAAGTCTTACACAAAGTCTGAAAATTAGGAAATACATTCTGTTTACAGATGAGAAAATTGAGTCTTACAGAGGTCAATTAGCTCAAGCAAATATATTAGTATACTTGAACACATAATTTTTAAAAAGTAAAACACTAGAAGCATTTCTGAAAGTTAAACTAGACATAGTGCAAAAGAACTGCTTCTTTTCTCCTAAGTGGATACTAGTTAAAAAAACCATTTATTAAAGAGTTGATTCTATTGGCTATCACCTAATGGTTTGAAATGCTTGTTGTGTTGTAAAATAAATTCCAAATGCCTTGAAAAAATTCAACATGACAATGAAAGAATATAATGATATCTTTGGGACAAGGAAGGTCCTAAACAAGCATTAAAGCAAAGACTACTAGGGAAGAAAGTTATACTATTGACTGTATTAAAATGAAACTTCTATATGACAGAAGACACAAAACTCAGCCATCATAAACCCCTGCCACAGAGTAAATTCTGACTCATGGTGACTTCACACATTCAGAATAAAAGTGAGCTCCATCTGAGTACAACCTGGCTGTAATTAATATTCATGGAATCAAATAGCCAGTACTTCTTCCTCCAGCAGCACCACTGAATGGGTCTGAGCAGCCAACTTTGGGGCTGAAGTTGTTAAGTGCTATTGGGTCTGATTCAACTGCATATAGTCTGACTACAACTCACACTGACCCTGTGAACAATATATTTGAGCCCTGTCCTAGCCTGTGTCATCCCGATCGTCTCAGACATCTGTGACACGATTCCACAATTATTGTACTGTGTCAACCCACCTTGTTGAAATGAAGGTCTTTCCCTCCTACGCTGACCATCCACCTTTCCAAGCATGATGTCCTTTTCCAAGGACTAGTCCCACATGACAACATGTCCTAAGTATGTGAGACAAAGTCTCACCATCTTTGCCTCCAAGGAGAACCCTGTCTGCACATTTTCCAAGACACAGTTGTAAGTATTTTTTGGCAGTCCATGGGCTATTCAGCACTCCTCTCCAACACTAGAACTCAAAGGCAAATTTAAACCATTTGCATTTCCTAAGGACTTGAGTCATCATAGATCACATCAAGGGAAAGCAGACAGAAGGAGGCAGAGAATAGCTATCAGAAAGGCAGGAAACATGACAACAGCAGACCCTAGAGAAGGTTTCTTTAATGTGCATTTGTGGACAGAGGCAAAGAGAGAGCTCAGCACACCCCAGAAGGGGCTGGGAGAGCCTGGGGGTTGTGGTCGTGGTCGTGGTCGTACAGAGTTGTGGTCCTCACCTCTCCCGAAGGGCCGGGTTCCGCAGGTCTGAGATGAGAGGCATGGTCCTCTTGAACTGCTCTATTTTTGATCTAGTCGTTTCAATAATTTCCCAGTTTCGGTCCTGAGCAAAAGTGGACTGCATTAGGGGGCCCGATCATCTCGCCTGCACAGAGCCTCTTCCCTGGGAGACCTCTCCTCTCTCCACACACCTTATACTCTTTTGCTAGTCTTGTGAGGCGCCGGAAAAGCCCATGGGCCATGGTTTCCATAGCCTCTGTCTGGAGAGTCAGGAACCGGCCAGTCTTCCATTGGCTCCAGTTCTCCTCCCAGTCCCATGTGATCTCCCACACTTGCTGGATAGCATCAAGCTCCTAAAAGTCAAGAAAGAAAAAATGAGATAAGAATTACGAGCTCGCATGGTGCAACCACTGTGGAAAGCGGTGTGGTGCTTTCTCATAAAGCTGCAAATAGAGATACCATTTGACGCAGCAATTCCACTACTGGGAATATATCCCAAAGAGACCATAAGCACCATCCAAGCAGATATATGCACACCTATGTTTATCACGGCTTTGTTCACAATAGCAAGGAGTTG